CCCTGACAATCTGATTAAAGTCTATTTTGTCCGCTACCATACGAAGCCAAACTTAGTAACTATCAAGAAAAGATTCGTTAGCAATACTTTGCAAACTGTTAGACCAACTATTGCTATATAGAAGTTGCTCTTTGAACGCGGCCTCGTGGCAAACTTGACGCAGCTTAACAAATGCTGGGATATGTAATTGTACTTACTAAATATACAAAGCATACGCCTTAGTGAAGGAGGTCGTTGTCAGCTTTGCAGGTGATTGTCTTACGAGATTAATGCTTCTTGGAGAACATTAACCTATTGCAATTTTTTAAACGTCAAAATGAAGAACTTTCAGCATCATTGATTTTATTCCTCATTTTCTTACATCAGAGTGTCAGAAAACTCAACATTGATAATTTGTATTTAAAATGGTAATAAAACAATAATAGGGAATATATTTCAGCTAGAAGTGACGAAAGACTAGGATCAATAATTAAAACAGATTTAGGATAAAGTATCACTGAATGGCGGTGGTAGTATAAGTGCAAACATATATGTCATTAAATAATCATAGCCTTTGCGGCTGAATTGATGGAGGCGACGTCCATTAATGACAGGCTTTAGAGATCTTGGTTGCAAATTCCTGTTTTAATCTTCTTCTATGTTTCTAGTTTTTTTTGCAGTTTCCTTTTACGATTGAAGACTATACCAACCCATAGTGTTATGGTATTATTATTATTATTATTAGAAATGTTCCTGTCCCTCCCTTCGTTAGTTTGCACGACCGTTACGTCCTGCCAATACCTCATAAATAATAGACTATTCCGTTTTGAGCGCGTGAAAAGAGAGGAAAATACACTGAGTGAGAAAATGAATGAAAGAAAGAAAGAAAGAAAGAAAGAAAGAAAGAAAGAAAGAAAGAAAGAAAGAAGGGAAGAAAGAAGGGAAGAAAGAAGTGAAGAAAGAAGTGCATAATGTACCCTGCCAAAACTTAAAATATAACGGACTATTCCATTTTCATTGCGGGGAGAGATTGGAAGAGACACTACTTGGTTTCAGTGAAAAAATGAAAGAAAGAAAGGAAGAAATAAAAGAAAGAAAGGACGAAAAAAGATAGAAGTTTTTAACGGTTGTTTTACTGAAGTTGTCAATTTCAAATCTTTTCATTTGTACCCACTTCTTAAAATAACAGCCAGCCTTCATATTTATGATTCTCATTGCAATATTTTGTTAAAGCTGTTAAGCTCAAATATTTAACAATATGATACGGGAATTTCTACAGATATTTTATTGTTGCAAAACTCGTCATGAGTTTATTCAGTCATTCAATTAAGAATTAAATTTCATCGGAATATTAAAATAGAAAAACCGTGAAATATTCATGGATTAAAACTAGTTATTATTATTATTAATGGAAGAACAAGGTAAATAATCTGGCCCTTGTTATTCTCTATAACAATCAAATTAGGTTTTCGTTCTTCTATGACATGAATTATTATCATTATTAATGGAAGAACAAGGTAAATAATCTGGCCCTTGCTATTCTTTATAACAATCAAATTAGGTTTTCGTTCTTCTATGGCATGAATTATTATTATTATTAATGGAAGAACAAGGTAAATAATCTGGCCCTTGTTATTCTCTATAACAATCAAATTAGGTTTTCGTTCTTCTATGACATGAATTATTATTATTATTATTATTATTATTATTAATAATAATAATAATAATAATAATAATAATAATGACGATGAAAAAACTTTTAATAAAATCGTACTGGTTAACAAACAATTTTGCATAAATTACACACAAATCAAACATATTTATAGACATGGTGTCTGCTTCTTGGTAATGATTAGCTTTGTTTGATTTCGATTCTCATTGGGTATTCTTTTCTTGTTATCTTGTGTCAAATTAAGTTAAGGTTAATAAATAATTATCAAGATAATTTATTCAAAGTAATGCGGTTGCCTTTGTTCCAAACTGGGGAAAAGCAAGTATTTCGAATTTTGATTTTCGAGGCAGTGCGTCATGTGGTAAACTAACGCAATCTAATCTTCTAATCTCGGTAATTTGACCGAAGTTTAGCCATAGTCATACAGAATTATGCACAAGTAAAATGATTGACACAGAAACTGACTTTTCCAAGGCGAGAAAAAAAATCTGTTTAAAATCTTGAAAGTGGCATTATCATTTCAAAAATGTCTTTCCATACCTTCCTTTCCATGTAGCTTTTAAGTATGGTTTGCCTTTTCAACATTGCAGTCTCTCTTCGGCAGTTTATTTGCACAATTCCATTCCTTGGGTTTCTAGCAGGGTCTCTTTGTTCCAGTTGTCCTTCAACATGACCTGTGAGTGTCAAATTCACAAAGCCTTCTTTCCTTATGATGTGTCATGTATAATCGTCCTTTTTGTTTCAAGTTGTCTTAAAACGTCCTCATTGCTCCCATGTTCAGTTCATATTATTCTCAGCAACCTTTTGTATAAAAACCACATCTCTGTTAACTCGAGTCAACGTTTGAAAATAACTCCAGCTAACTTCTGAACTTCATCGATTCCCCTTCTTCATTCCTTGTCATATAGCATGGTTTATATTACATAGTATTTCACCAAGCTTTTGTTTGGTTTGGTTTACGGCATAACATCCTTAATGCCGACAAGATTTATATTGCTGGTAATATTTACTTTTTCAAAAAAAGTATTTCCGATTTTTCCAAAAATGTATTTCTGGTAATATTCCTTTTTTCAGAAATGTATTTCTGGTAATATTTCTTTTTCCAGAAATGTATTTCTGGTAATCTTTTTTTTTTTTTTAGAAATATATTTCTGGTAATATTTCTTTTTTCAGAAATGTATTTCTGGTAATATTTCTTTTTTCAGAAATGTATTTCTGGTAATATATTTTTTTTTTAGAAATATATTTCTGGTAATATTTCGTTTTTCAGAAATGTATTTCTGGTAATATATTTTTTTTTAGAAATGTATTTCTGTTAATATTTCTTTTTTCAGAAATGTATTTCTGGTAATATTTTTTTTTTTTTTAGAAATATATTTCTGGTAATATTTCTTTTTTCAGAAATGTATTTCTGGTAATATTTCGTTTTTCAGAAATGTATTTCTTGTAATATTTCTTTTTTCAGAGATGGAGTGCTGGTAATATTTTTCCAAAAATGTATTGGTGGTGATTTTTTTTCCAAAATGTATTGCGGATAATATTTTTTTCCAAAAAGGATTTCTGGTAATAATTCTGATGATAATATTTTTTCTTCAAAAATTAATTGCTGGTAATAATTTCAGTATCTGTCTATATTTCTGAGATGAGGTATTATGTACACTATATACATTATTCGGACTATTGTCCTCATTGTTGTCGCCATATTTATTACAACGTTTGGGCCGTTGTACACTCCAGCCTTCTTCAGGCGGTTGGAATGTCCATCCAAGGACACATGGCACAGTGGATAATGGCGTTGGTTAGATCCAGCGACAGGACTCAAAGAGTGTGAGTTCAATACCCTGTTAAGGCAGCGGAGAACTTGCAGAGGCGAATTAACAGGAGATAACTGATAACTGACATCCATCAAACATGGCACGTGGAACTAGAACAGTCTACCTCAATGAGCGAAATAAACAGTTCAGTTCGAAATTCCAACCACCTGAAGAAGGCCGGAGCGTAGAACGGCCGAAAACGTTGTAATAGATATGGCGACAAAGATGAGGACAATAGTCCGAATAATATAAATAGTGAATTTTTTTTAGAAAAGAAATGTATCGCGAAATATAAAACGGTTTCTCATACATTTTGACCCCAGTTTGTAGTTTACCTATTTTCCCATAGTTGGGACCCTAACAGGTGCTACCACTCCAGGTTAGGGTAGACCTGGGAACACCAGCAATTAAGAGGTGGTTCCAAGCTCCTCAAAACCTGATCAGAGGCCTTGCTGTCGGATGTAGTTTATCATCTTACCCAGGACGGGCTTTTATTTGTTTTTAAATGAAATTTTACTCTTTCTTAATAATCTGCTTAGCTTTTGGAAGGCATTTATTGCTATTCCATTTTCTTACAATTCCTTGATTTTGGTATCTCCAATTTGTAGTATGTATTTTCGGATATTCCGCTTCCTGGTAACCGAGCGTTTTCGGAGAGAAGGTTCACGAATATGTGCAACACAGTGTTTCTGGAAAGTTATGTTGACCAGTTATAAAGTGAAAGTTACGGGACGTGCTCCCCCCCAAAAAAAAAAAAAAAAAATGATTTTTTTAGTGCAAATCGTTGCTGATATTTGGCGTATCCTTGACTTGTGGAAGAAATGTAATTCGAATATCTTTGTTGGCAATCTTCACAAAAGGAGGTGACCTTTTTCTTTAATTTTTTTTCTGTCTTTTTCTTCTTCAATTTTGTCATTAAGATGGCAGGTCCAATGGGAAGTAAACACTTTATAGTAAATGAAACAAGAATCTCCGCCCTTCTCTCCATCGTTCGTGAGAGAATGAGTTGAATGTAGATGTGTGTAGTCGTGTTCAGAGACACTCGCTTCACTTGCAATCAAGTAATCAGCAATCTGGTATTACCCTGGACAATTGGACAATGATAAGATTTGCAGCCGGCAACCATCCTGTCAGAAACAAGCCTCGCTAGTATTTCCACTTGGACTTGTTATTTGACTGGCCTTTAGAAGAAAAACAAGGGAAAACGATAATAAATACACAGAAGACAAAAGAAAAAAAATGAGTAACAGAGGGAGAGAAAGAGAAAGAGGGAGGGAGGGAGACGACATAGACAATGAAAAAGAAAGGCAAAAGATAGAAAGAAACGAAGAGGTGAATGAGTGTCCATGAAAAAAAGAAAGTATAAATGGGAAAAGGTTAAAGAAAGAAAGAACGAAATGTGAGAGAAGAAAGAAAGACATAGAAAATCAAAGGAGAAGAAAGAAAGAAAGAAAGAAAGAAAGAAAGAAAGAAAGAAAGAAGTTAAAGAGTTGGTAGGAAAAAAGGGATAGAAAAAGGTAGAAGGAATCAAATGTTTAGAAAGAAAGAAAGAAAGAAAGAAAGAAAGAAAGAAAGAAAGAAAGAAAAGGACAGATGCCAGGAAAGAAAGAAAGAAAAGGACAGATGCCAGGAAAGAGAAAAGAAGCAAAAGTGTGGACAGCAAGGAAGAAAGAAAGAAGAAAATTTAGAAGGAAAGAAAGAAGAAAATGGGTGGATAGAAAGTAATTAAAAAAGACAGAAAGAAAGAAAGAAAGAAAGAAAGAAAGAAAGAAAAGAGTGGTCATAACGGACGAAACGAACTGGAAAGGAAAGTAAGAAAGGAAGAGTGGATATAAAAAAAAGAAATAGAAAAACGTACAAATAAAGAAAGAAGTAGAAGAGTAAGCAGAAAGAAAGGAATAGGAAAAAGAAAGTTAGGAGAAAAAGTGGACAGTGAGAAAAAAGAAAAAGAAAGAAAAAGAAAGAAAGAAAAAGAAAGAAAGAAAGAAAGAAAGAAATAAAGAAAGAAAGAAAGAAAAAATAAATAAAAAGGAAGGTAAGAAAGAAAGAAAGAAAAAAGAAACGAATAGGGAAGAAGAAAGAAAGATAAGAAAGAAAGAAAAAGAAGAAGAAAAGAAAGTAAAGAAAGAAAAGAAAGAAAAGAAAAAAAAAAAAAGAAAGAAAGAGAGAAAGAAAGAAAGAAAGAAAGAAACGAATAGGGGAAGGTAGTAGGAAAGATACGAGTAACGAAAGAAAGAAAGAAAGAAAGAAAGAAAGAAAAGAAAGAAAGAAAGAAAGAAAGAAAGAAAGAAAGAAAGTGAAGGTGGTGAAAGGAAAATAAAAGAAAGAAAGAAAGAAAGAAAAAAAATAAAGAAAAGAAAGAATGAAGGAATAGGACAGATGCCAGGAAAGAAAAAATGAAAAACAGAATGTAGACAAAATGTACGAGGAAATGAAAGGAATGAGGAAAGATAGAGAATGTGAAGAAGAGAGAGGGGAAGACGAGACGATAGAAAGAAATAAATGGCGCCAGGAATAGACATGTGTGAGATAGAGAAGGAAAGAGATTAGGAAGCATGAAAGAGGAAAGGAGGTGATGGATGAGACAAAATGAAAAACGAAATGACATAAAAAGTTGAAGTAACAAAGAGAAGGAACCGAAAGAAAGTATAGAAAGACAGAGAATAAAGAAGCAGTGGGACAGATTAATGAAAAGAGAGAGGGTGAGAGAGGAGGAGAAAGAGATATTAATAAAGAGAGAGGAGAATGAAAACAGAAGCAACAAAAGAAGAATATTAATTGAGAAGGTGAGGAGAGAAAAAAAGAAGGAAGTACCCTTCAAAGCTGAAGAGAAAAAGTCAATTTAGATGCAATGTTAAAAATGCAAAAAAAAAAAAAAAAAAAACGAGGAAAAATCGGATGCAAAAATAAAAATCGTTAAATACTTTTATCTTTTATATCCTTACGGTATCTAAAAACCTAGTTAAGCCTCAGAATTGATAAGGGTAAATTTAATCCCATTTTAATAATCCGAATACACAATCTAAAGCTGTGTATCATCTAAAGTTTTCGCAGTGAATATCGCTATTGAGACGGTAAAAAAAAAATATCTTATAAAAATGTTTCAAGCCACTTTCAGCTTTTGAGCAGTTCTGATAAGTATTAATATTACTCACCAAATAGTTCTGGTGAGTAATATTAATACTCACCTGAACTGCTCAAAAGCTGAAATAATCGCTCTTTTCCTACTAAGTCTAGTCGATGTTGCTCAAACTGTGCTTAAAGGCATCATTTGAACGCTGCGACGATCTTGTAAGTTTGGTTGGTTGGTTGATTAGTTTTGTTTAGCGGCATATCAACACCTCTGTGGGTTATTTAATACCAAAATCTAAATATTTTCAACGCAATTGTATGCCTTCAGTTACAAATAAAATTTATCATTGGTCATTTTACTATAAATATGTATTGTTTGTTGGTTAATTTTGTTTAGCGGGATATCAAACTCTATGGGTTATTTAATGCCGTAATCTGAATATTTTAAACGCAATTATATGCCTTCAGTTATAGAGAAAATATATCGTTGCTCATTTTAATATATGTATTGTTGGTTGGTTGATTTTGTTTAGCGGCATTTCAAACTTTTATGGGATATTTAATACCGAAATCTAAATATTTTGAACTACAGATAAAATATATCGTTTGTCATTTTACTATAAATATGTATTGTTGGTTGGTATTGATGGTAATGTTTTAGATTATGTGAACTTTGTTCTAAATAATTATTCGAAAACAATTTTTCGAATTACAAATCGTTTTAATGAAAATTAATCGAAATGACAATTATACTCGATGATAATTATTCGAAATGCAAAAATTTATCGCAATAAAAAAATAAAAAAATAAAGAGGAAATGCACAAATGATAATATCTTTAATAAAACCGCATTTGCATTTCGAATACATTGAAGGTCGTTCTTAACGGATTCTCCTCCAGCTCCTATCCCACGAACACTGGTGTTCCGCAAGTCTCTATCCTAGGTCCTACTCTGTTCCTTATCTTCATTAACGATCTTCCTGATGTCATAAGTTCCCAAGTAGGGGACGACACTAGTATTTACTCTTGCCTCAAAAACAAATCTAGTGTCGCCGACAAAACCAACCTGTCCGTTCGTCTAGAAAAGTACCTCCAATCGGTTGTGGACTGGGTCAGTTTAACTTTAATTCCTCAAAAACAAAACTGCTCTCTATTATTCACCAGAGAGAACCATCCCTGTTTCCCATTAGAATGTCTGACGTTCAACTCCACGGGAGCACCTCTTTGCGACTGCTCGGTCTCACATTGTCCGCTGACCTGAGATGGAACGAAAACATTGAGTCAATAGCTTCGTCCACCGCAAGGAAAGTTGGGTCCCTGTGCCGCGCCAGGAATTTTTTCTCGCCGGAGTCGATCCTTCAAATCTACAAATCAACCAGTAGCCGTTGCATGAAGTATTGCTGCTATATATGGTCTGGAGCCCCTTCTATTTCTCTCAAGGTGCTTGATAAAATCCAAAGACGGATATGCTATGTAATTGGCCCTGATCTGGCATCTCGTCTGCAGTCGCTCTCTCACAGACGTGCCGTTGCCTCCCTCTGTCTTTTTTTACAAATACTTTCACGGTAACTGCTCTGATGAGCTGCTTTCGCTGGTTCCAAGACTTCATGAATTTAAGCGTTTAACTAGGCTGGCATCTCGCTCTCACCCTTTCACTGTCGAAAACTGTTAAATGTAGCCGTCTCTTCTACTCTAATAGCTTCATGTTTCGCACTTCTCGCCTGTGGAACTCCCTCCCCATTTCTTGTTTTCCTGATAGGTATAATCTCCAATTATTCAAATGTAACATCAATCGACGTCTCCAGATGCCTTGATTTATCTCCTAACCTTCTCGTCATATTTTCCTCTATTACTTTTCTTTGTTCTCGCTCCAACTCTCTGTAACCCCTTGCGTGTTAGTGGCTTCCCACCTTGCTTGGGGTTGAATGCTTAAAAAAAACGAAAACAAAAAACGATTTAATAAGAATAAATCCTTATAATCTTAAGTTATTTGACACTGTACGCAAATAGTCAACTACTAAAGAGTTCTAGTTAAAGTATGCCACTAAATTTTTACGTTTTCCATTTACTTCGCGGCATTTCTTGGTGTTCTTGATATTTTCGCAACCTGCTCTTACTTTTACAATATGAATTTCTTGCAAGTTCTGTTCACTTATAAGAGTGTCTACGAATTTCCATATTGTGAGCTGATGGGATGACACTTGCTGCAAAAGCCCTATTCCATACTTCAAGGACTTTATTAGTTCTAGGTAAATCAGAACTGACACTCTCAAAGCAAACCCAGATACCTATTTCAAACATAGGTATTTCGAATAATTATTATTTAGTATAATTGGCCTTAGGGAACCTCGGCGTGGTGTAATGGTTAACAAGCTTGTCTCGCTAGAACATTTACGACTGAGTACTGAGTTCGATCCTCACTGAGTGGCCCAAAGTTTCGGCCTTGTGGCATATCTTAGCTACGCTTGGAAAATCACTTTAGAGGTGCCCAACCCTGCAGAACAGCTGCCAGAGGCCGCGCCCTATCAACGCACAATTGCACAATTGACGGTTGTGGGGGCTGAGGGCAATTTTTCTGCCCTGCGCGGGTGTACGCGCTCGGGTTCCCAACTTAAAAAAGACCTTAGGTCACAACTCGTCCTAGTGGTGAGACAGAGTAAATACCCAGTATAATTATCTTTTCGATTAATTTTCATTCTTATATTTTACAATTCGAATAAATGTTTTTCGAATATTTTTTTTCAAGCAATTTTCTCGATACGATTTTTTAATAATAAAATGTATTTCTCGTATTTTTACTATAAAATTTTATTTTTTTACTTTCAGAGTATTTTATTTTTATTTGGGTGTTCACTATTTGCCCTAAGAGATGCTACCACCCCACTTCTGGGGGAACCTTGGGACAACAGAAATTACGAGGTGGTTTCACGCTCCACAAAAAAACATCCAATCTCCCAACCAGGGACCTTTCTGTTGGATGTGGTTTATGGTCATACTCAGGTTAGAATTTGTATGGAAGCATGGTGGTTGAAATCAGCAAATCAGTTTCAAACTGTGGAAGTTTGCGGTTACTTTGGACGATTACACTTGGGACAAGGAAAGAATCCACTTTTACCTCCAGCTATAAGTAAACATCGGGGCACTTAGATTCCGTTAATTATGTAAAAAAAAAAAGTTCATATTGAACCGCGGTTTAAGAAGGCGGACCCGTAAAGATTCGTAATTGCTACAGGCCTCCATGGATCGTTTGAGAAATCAAAATCATAATCATCATCAGTTCCAGAACTGGGCATAGTCGTAGGTTGCTGATCACCTGACCGGTTCTTTCTGCCTACCTGTGTTGAAAGCGGAAGTGTTTATTCATGCGTAGCGTGTCTTGGGTAAGTTGACCTAGCGAAGCCCATCCCTCTCCATGTCAAAAACCAGTCGGTTTCTTCCAACTTGACGGTTCACCTTGCTCATGAACACGTGGCCGTCGATTCAATCGGAGAGAACCTCCGCGCTTTGTGTTGACTCGGAAGTCCTCTCTTAGCGATGCGGTGTCAATAGCGCACTCATTGCATTTATATCTATGGAGCCCAGTGTACCCTATTTTGCCCCATGGCCATTGACTTTACAAATAAGTTCATCCGTTTTTTGACAGGTCTTTTTAAAGCCTTCTGTGTGTCTCAACACTCTTCTTACGAGAACAGTTGGATGGATGAATCTGTTTAGTAAGCGATGCTTGTTTTGTTTGTTTAATGGCATATCCTCTCATTAAGAGCCATTTAATACTGAAATCTCATTTTCTTGAAAGTTTTGAAGTAATAAAAACATGTTATTCTGCTTTCACAGTTGAATACATGGTAGATGATACACAGCTTTTGTGCATATACATGTTTATATGGACAAAATTATTACAGGCGGTGATATGTGTGTTTTATGTTCTAGGTTTGTTGTAGTTATATTTTGGAATAGAACTTGATTTCTTTAAGAAATTGTATGATATTATATGGATTAATATAATGAAAGGATTCTTTCATGTTATTTGTTTGGTTAGTTGATTGTACTATGATTACTTACATTATTTACATTATTCGGACTGTTATCTTAATCTTCATTGCCATATTCACAACGTTTCGGCCGTTGTACGCTCCGGCCTTCTTCAGGTGATTGAAATTTCGAGCTGAAGCCTTTATTTCGTCCACTGGGGTATATTGATCTAGTTCCACGTGTCATGCCTCTTCTGGATGTCTCAGTTATTTCCCTTTAACTCAACTCTCCAAGTTTGATTCACCACTGCTGTGGCCTGGTATTAAACTCACAACACTTCAGGTCTAGTCACTGGAATTAACCAATGTCTATATCCAATGGGTCATGTGTCCATGAGGACACATTGTGTCTCGCTCCTCTTTCGGCATTTGCCCATAGCTGGGACCCTAACAGGTGCTACCACCCAAGGTCAGAGTAAACCTGGGAACAACAGCAATTATGAAGTGTTTCCTCGCTCCTCAAAACCTCCAATCTTCCGTCCAGGGGCCGGATGAAAATTATTGTCATATCCAGGACTTTGTCGGCAATGGCGCGAGCCTGAGGGAGGTAGTAATGGATTATATATTACAAATAGCAATTAGAGAGTGACCTAACATAAATGGTCGAAAAATAGTAAAAAAACAATCATTGTTTTGAGTGTCGTCCGACATGGGAATCGATTTACTTCATAGTTAACATCAATAGATTTGATAGAGTCCAAAAGCATCTCCGAGTCCTTGGAGATGACGAATTGTTTTCCACTCTCTCACAGACGGGATATGGCAAGCCTCTCGTTGCTCTATCGCTAGTTTCACGGAAAGTGCGCGTACCATCTACATCCGTTGGTTCAGCCAGGCCTAACCATCTCGACAAAGGCCCACCATGCAACTTACATTGTAACAAACCACTCATATTGCCACCGTGTTTCATCGGTGAGAAGTAAGTTCCATTCGAACAGGTTCTTCTCGCTAACCGCTGTTCTGTGCAACCGGCTCAAAAGAGAATGTTTTCCCGATCACTACCCTGTTACTTAACCTGATCAAGTCTAGGGTTAACCGGTATCTTCCTCTCCTATCCGTACAAACTGCCTCCGTGTATATGTTAAGCTGGCCACCCGTATTCGAGGATGCCCTTATACTAGAGCGGCTAGATGTTTGCGTTTATGCTGAGCAGACCTTAGTTACAGTTTCTGGGAAATAGCGTGTTATCTAGCGTTATAAACAATTCGAACAAGGCCAGCACGCTCAGGCCATCGGCCACGATGACTTGTGACTTCGTGCTAGCACAACTATCGAAGGCCCCATTTTCCGTCTACCCAATCTTCAGGCACTTTCCATAGGTGCCGCATGCTGGGATCGACCCCTATAACATCAGAAAGTCTCCTTCCTAACAAATAGACCATGGCGAAATTTGAACCCGGGTCTCATGGTTGGAATGAAAACGTTCTAACCACGGGGCCACGTACTTTACCGTAAAAAAAGTACTTTTCTGCTTATGCACGCTATTAATATCTCAACTATGTTGTCATAATTAAAAATAAAATACCGATAAAAGGTTTCTGCACAGGAAGTTATCTGATCATTTTGCTAAAACGCAGACTCAATCCAAAGATCAGTTTACTTATTTTCTGACACCAGATAAGTCTAGATTAATAGGTGAGATTGTGTAGCGCGTACAGCTTGTCTGAAAAAAAAATCAGCACTGGAAATGCTATCCACATTGCATGTAAAGATTCTGGTGTTATGCTGGAGATACGAGTTTTACAATCACCTCAGAAGTTAAAAGATGCTACCAATTCACCCCCAGGAGGTTCTCTATCACGGCCTTTCTTAATTTTGGTGGTGGTTCACGAATTGATGTTTCTATCAAAAGAAGCCCACGTAGATTATCACGATTATGAGTAGTGATTCACCTCCAGTTAGATACACGGTACGTTTTACGGTAGGGGATCTTTCTAAAGGAGCAAACACATGCCTTGTTGATTAGTAGGAATTAACAGGAAAGTAATGTCAAATTGGCTGCCCTTGGGATAAATTCATGATGTAAGTAAACAAGTTTAAACATTGCTATTTTAAATCTGATTAGTTTTGAAGAGATTTATTCAAACCATGTAATTTCGTTAAATCCCGTTAAAGAAACAAAAATAAAACAAATATGATTTATTAAGAATTTAGGTTGCTAGAAGTAGCTATGAAGATTTCACTGTTTCTTTATTTGGAGTTTCTGATGTATCTTAATTATTTATATAGTAAATTAATAATGTACTGGCAACTTCTACGACTATAAAATATTTAGGGACACTCGACTATTGCACCGGTAAAAATTTGGGCCAAAAATTTTGTAGCGACTTAGTAAATAGGATTGTACGTATATACACATGTTAAGTAGATGAAATATAAAGTGTATAGTAAACAAAGAGACAAGAAAAAAGTTGATTACTGATCATGTGACGTAGAATAACACAACACAGCACAACTTTAATTATCGTTAGGTCTTACTGCAGACAATTATTTGAAGATGTATAAAGGGCTCAAATGGACTTGAGAAGAGAAAATAATGACATAATCAAGATGTTGGCGTTCCACACTACTTCAAAGAAAAGGTTAGGAAAGAAACTCCCATCAATACTGGAAAGAGAGATAACAGCTACTGGACTAGAGAAGAGAAAATAATGACATAATCAGGATGTTGACGTTCCACACTACTTCAAAGAAAAGGTTAGGAAGGAAACTCCCATCAATACTGGAAAGAGTGATAACAGCTACTGGACTTGAGAAGAGAAAATAATGACATAATCAGGATGTTGACGTTCCACACTACTTCAAAGAAAAGGTTAGGAAGGAAACTCCCATCAATACTGGAAAGAGTGATAACAGCTACTGGACTTGAGAAGAGAAAATAATGACATAATCAAGATGTTGACATTCCACACTACTTCAAAGAAAAGGTTAGGAAGGAAACTCCCATCAATACTGGAAAGAGCGATAACAGCTACTGGACTTGAGAAGAGAAAATAATGACATAATCAAGATGTTGACATTCAACACTACTTCAAAGGAAAGGTTAGGAAGGAAACTCCCATCAATACTGGAAAGAGCGATAACAGCTACTGGACTTGAGAAGAGAAAATAATGACATAATCAAGATGTTGACGTTCCACACTACTTCAAAGAAAAGTTTAGGAAAGAAACTTCCATCAATAATGGAAAAAGCGATAACAGCTACTGGACTTGAGAAGAGAAAATAATGACATAATCAAGATGTTGACGTTCCACACTACTTCAAAGAAATGGTTAGGAAAGAAACTCCCATCAATAATGGAAAGAGCGATAACAGCTACTGGACTTGAGAAGAGAAAATAATGACATAATCAAGATGTTGACGTTCCACACTACTTCAAAGAAAAGTTTAGGAAAGAAACTCCCATCAATAATGGAAAAAGCGATAACAGCTACTGGACTTGAGAAGAGAAAATAATGACATAATCAAGATGTTGACGTTCCACTACTTCAAAGAAATGGTTAGGAAAGAAACTCCCATCAATAATGGAAAGAGCGATAACAGCTACTGGACTTGAGAAGAGAAAATAATGACATAATCAAGATGTTGACATTCCACACTACTTCAAAGTAAAGGTTAGGAAAGAAACTCCCATCAATACTGGAAAGAGCGATAACAGCTACTGGACTTGAGAAGAGAAAATAATGACATAATCAAGATGTTGACATTCCACACTTCTTCAAAGGAAAGGTTAGGAAAGAAACTCCCATCAATACTGGAAAGAGCGATAACAGCTACTGGACTTGAGAAGAGAAAATAATGACATAATCAAGATGTTCACGTTCCACACTACTTCAAAGAAAAGGTTAGAAAGGAAATTACCATCAATACTAGAAAGAGTGATAACAGCTACTGGACTTGTGAAGAGAAAATAATGACATAATCAAGATGTTGACGTTCCACACTACTTCAAAGAAAAGGTTAGAAAGGAAATTACCATCAATACTAGAAAGAGTGATAACAGCTACTGGACTTGTGAAGAGAAAATAATGACATAATCAAGATGTTGACGTTCCACACTACTTCAAAGAAAAGGTTAGAAAGGAAATTACCATCAATACTAGAAAGAGTGATAACAGCTACTGGACTTGTGAAGAGAAAATAATGACATAATCAAGATGTTGACGTTCCACACTACTTCAAAGAAAAGGTTAGAAAGGAAATTACCA